AGAGAGAGAGAGAGAGAGAGAGAGAGAGAGAGATGCGTTTTGTTATGATCCTGACCAATTTCGAGATACACATCCATCAGATAGTACAATACCGTCCAATTGCAGAAAGAAATGAATGAACTTGAGAGGAGAGAGAGGATTAGAAGAAGAAGAAGAAGTAAGAAAGAAGAACAAGGTGATGTACACCAGCAGAGACAAATGACAAGGCTCTTCTTCTTCGCCCAACAATCTCCTCCTCCTTATCTCCCCCTTCTCTTATTCATACAAGAAATAATAATACAATGTTGAATGGCTGATCCCGAATCAATGTCCAAGTTCCTCTTCTATTGCAGGTATCACTTGAGGTCCACCATAGCCATGGCCGCCTCTCCCACTCTTCACTCTCATAGGCCGGGGCTATGGCGGAGTACTACGCCTTGCCCAGATGCCGAAGGACAACCCAAAGCAGCTATGGCTGCTCTAGCTCAGGCCGCCATGCCCGACCCTGCCTCGAAGCTTGTTGGTGTAGCTCTCCCCAGTTGGGGGCTCCATGCTGCAGCGCCCACCAAGGTGATGAAGATGGCTGCCACCATAGCCAGGTAAGTACCCCTGGTGCTCCTCCCCCTTCCTGTCCTTCTTCCTCCTCCGTGTCCTTCTTCTTCCCCCAGCAGCGCTGCTCTTGGATAGCGCTGCTCCAACTGGTGCTCCAACCAGTGTGTCGCCAGACTTGCACACCGAAAAAGAGGCCGGGCTCTTCGCCCGACTGCGAGATATAGCGGCCTGCTTGCCTCTTCGGGCAGTGACTTCCAGGCCGCTCGGCCTTCCAAGCAACCGGTACCTCCTCCCTTTCGGAGGGAAACATCATTGCAGACTCTGACATTGCCCGTACAGGCCGTAGACCCAGACTGGTTGGACTGGTATCCGCCTAGACCTAACCTACAACTACTGGGCCTCTAAAATGCCACTTTTGTCTTCTTCTGCTCGGCCTCCAGTACCCGCACATCTACCCCTTCAGGGTGCGGTACCGGCCTACCCGCTACTTGAGTGTTTTTCCTGCTGCCATCCCTCAATGTTACGGCCACAGGTAATTACCGGCCCTGAGGGCCCAATGAACGAGCAAGTGCCCTTGCGGGCCACACACACATTCAAGCCAACCAGCACTCAGACAGACACGGCCACACACACACTCAAGCCAATCAGC